CGGTGCGAGTGGCGACTCAGCTTGCGCCATGGCTTGCGCCAGCCACTCCAACACAATCTAACAAGAAGTTTCGCCATGGGTCGCGCCATAAACAGCGCCACGTACCACCCCTTTGAAATAACATATCGTGGATACCCGACGGGGGGACGTACAGCCGCGAACTGGTGTCAGAAACAAATTCGGTGGAACCCTGAAAAGAAGCGGGATGTTCGGAGAGTGGGGCGGAAGGGTAATGATAACTGCAGAGGTGTCGAAAGAACGCGGAAGCCCCAAGTGAGAGCGCGATTCCTAATACATTGTAAGGAAAAATCAAGCGGGAGCCGCGATCCGGTGGAACAATGCAAGGACGTCCCAAGCGAGATCGCGATTCTTCAATAAATTGTGAGGAAGTATCAGGCGGGAGCCGTTGTTGTTGTAAACCGGGGGCCAACGACACAGTTTGACCCTCAAGACTTTCCCAGATCAAAAAAAGGTGCGAGCCCCGGGAAGGGCACTTCAATCGAACAAACAAATGAGCACCAGACGGGGGGGGAGCAACAATAATTGTTCTTCAGACATGAGAGTGCAACAACAAGAACGACAACAGCAACACAACAACCACCATCAACATCGACAAAACAATCACAACAAAAACAACAAAAGAAGACAACACTAGCAACAACAGCAGCAACAACCACAACCAACACCAACAACAACAATCATCAACTACATCATCATCAGCCGCATCATCATCCTGAGAATCATCATCGTCGTTTCATCCAGAACAGCAGGAACATCATCATTATCATAATCGTTGTCGCCGTCGTCTCATCATCGTCATCATCATGATCATCATAAAAATCATCAGTATCATCGCCATCATCATGATCATCATCAAAAAAACAACAACACAAACAGTAACAACAATACCAACAACTACAGCATCATCACCAGCATCGTCGTCGTCATCATCAGCATCACCATCATCATGATCGTCGTCACCCTCATCCTCATCCTCGTCGTTATCTTCATCCTCATCCCAATCCTCGTCCTCATCCTCGTCCTCATCTTCATCGTCATCATCAGCAGCAGCATCAGCATCATAATCATCATCAGCGCCATCATCATCTTCATCAACATGACCAGCATCGTGCTCACCAGCATCAGCATCAGCATCCTCATCATCATCATCAGCATCATCATCATCATCATCATCATCATCATCATCATCATCATCCCCCCCACCACCATCATCATCATCAGTATCATCATCATCCACCATCATCATTCATCACTCATCATCCCCACCACCATCATAATCATCATCAATATCATCATCAGCACCATCCATCATCATCATCATTCACCACTCATCATAATCATCATATCCTCGTCACCATCATCGTCATCATCATCGTCATCATCATAATCGATATCTCCTCCTCATCCCGCCCCCTCCTCCTCCTCCTCCTCCTCCTCCTCCTCCTCCTCCTTCTGCCTCCTCCTCCTCCTCATCCTTCTGCCTCCTCCTCCCTCCTCCTGCCTCCTCCCTCCTCCCCCTTAAGACGCGGCGCGGAGCTGCATGCCTCTGGCCCCCAATGCCGACCTCTGGGAACCCTGCCGGAGGCGCGCGCTCCAGCCAGGCCCCCGGGGCGGATCTGGCCGTGGCGACGGGCGACGTCCCCAGGGGCGCCCGAAGGACGCCCAAAAGTAGGACGAAGGCAGGATGATAACATACAGCCAGCCCCAGGACAGAAGAACATCCTTCGAGAACGGGAGGGCCTCCGCCAGCCAAACTGAACAACATTTCGAGAGTACCCTCCCCCAGGATGCCCAAGAACATTCAACAGGCACGAATAACATCAGGGTGCCCTCCCCGCACCGACCTCGACCTAATACCCGGTCCGACCGTACACGCGGATGAAGATAAATCGAGAATCAATGAAAGCGGGCGGGTCTGAAGAATGTCTCGGGCGCCGCGCCGTTCCAGAGCGCTCCAGAACACTCGGAGGGCGCTCCGGAGCGCTCTGGAGCGATGTATCCCGGTCCGAGCCCCGCCGGACTCCTCGCTCCCCAGGGGGTCTCTGGGAGCCCTCCCCCCCGAGGGCCTCCAGAGACCCCCTGACGCCCCAAGAAAGGAAGCCATAGAAACGACTTGACATGTTGGTCATCCTCCTGCTGATGCGTACGCATTTGCGCGGCGTCTCCACGGTCGCCGCCTGCCGCGGCCGCCGCGCGCGGCGGACCAAGGCGCACCCTCCCCCACGGGCAAAGACGGAAGAAAAGACAAAACCTAGAAACCCTCCTCCTCCTCCGCTTCCTCCTCCTCCTCCTCCTCCTCCTCCACCTTCTCTCGAGATACTCGTCCGGCTTCGCGGACATGGCGACCTTGCCAAGTGTGCCCGGGGTGTTGCCCTCGCTGTCGAGGTCGAGGCGCGAGGTGACCTGCTTCAGGATGTCGCGGTCGAACGCCAACACCGTGAGCCCCTCGGAAAGCGGTAAAGTCGAAAGAGAAATAAAATAGGAATACACAGTGCTAGCCAGCGTGACGCCAGACATTGTGTTCTAGCACTGTGCCGTGCGCAATGAACGTGAACCAATCCATGTTGTGCGATCGATGTTGTGCCATCTACTTTGTGCAAAATATGATGTGCAACCTATGTCGTGAATATATGAATGGTGCGACCAATGAGGTACAATTTATGTTGTGCAATATGTGAAAGGCCAGATACGTGATGCGATATGAGTGCTGCAGTCCATGTGAAACAATCAACGAGGTGCAATACATGTTGCGCAACCTACGTTGTGCGAGGAACATACATTTATCCATATATATACAGTAACATGATTAGTTACATATGTAGCTCAGTACATGCTGTGCACGGTGTGGGGCGCTGCCATCCAGGTTGTTCACTCGGTGTTGTGCAAGCTATGTGGTGTTATACGCTGTGCAAAATATGTGGTGCAATATACGTGGTGCAATATATGTGGTGAAATTCACCCATACTCGCACCGAGGTTTCAACTCCACTGCTCGCGCAATCAGCCGACCCACCCACTCGCAACTTGGTTTGCGAAACCCATGCGACGGCGATTGCGATGAGTGCTTGGCGTTGACTGGTGAATCGCTGCGGCCGCGCTAGCCCGCGCATGCTCGCGCGCACGGCGACCAGCCTGTGCGGCGCGACCGACTCGGCCGCAGTGGCGCTGAACGCTGTGCGCTTCCCAGCGGGTACTTCAGTGCGAGTCGGTGACTTGGGCGGGAGCGGCATCATGGCGACGAGGAGGCCAATGACGGCGCCGATGTTGATCACGCCCGCCGATAACGATGACGATGTCCTCGCGTCGGTGATGAAAGTTCTGGAAGGTGTTCGACATACGCGCGCGGCCGACGCGGGCGAGCGGCCCGCGTGGTCTTATTTGACACGGATCGTGACCTCCCCCCCAGCACGCGCGCAAGCGCGTTCGGATGATCCTGGCATGCGGCGCGAGAAACCCGCTTGGCACAAATTGATGACAATATTGGGAAGCCGATGGTTATCTTGACAAGTCGCAAGTGCGCGCGCAATTGTTGTTGGCAACTGACGTTGCAAAACCGTGTTTTATCTGTGTCGGGACCGTCAAATTTGAAACCCGTACGAAACTTATACTGTTTGAAGGATTCCGGCATGCGCGTGCGAAGTTCGTCTCATCTGTGGCCAGGAGTTCTTGCGACAGAACACGCGCAAGGGCGACCGGCCGATTCCGACATGCGCGCGCGGGAGACCAGTTTGGTAGCAAAACATGAACATGTGAATATTCAGTGTTGAAAATAACTGCAGGGGCACGAGCGCCAGCTGTGATTGAACATCCTTGGTGTGAAACCATATGTATGCTCTATGTTACGACACACTCGATGTTGAACCCCCTGCGAAACCCAAGGTTTTGAAAAATTCGGCACAGGCGCGCGACGACTCGTGCGTGTGCACTTCGTCACGCTTTTGTTTTGCAACGGTTTTTTTGGAAACTGATGGCGCTTGATTTTTTACCAAAAAAAGCGCGCACCGTATGTTCTGCAGGAAATGAGGGGGGGGGGAACTGTTGCCCGTTTGGCTGGGATGATACGAGGGCTGATTTAGTATGGGCGATGGGGCAATATGATACGCAAATTGCAATACGAAAAGGGGGCTGCTAAATCCGGGGGGTAGGTCCTCATACTTTGTTAGGAAGGAGAATCTACGTTGTTAAAAATATGATGTGCAACGTATGGTATGCAATCTGTGTGTGCTATATACGTGGTGCAATCTATGTAGTGCATTCGCCGTGGTGCAATCTATGATGTGCGATCTATGTGGTGCGCAACCCACGTGGTGCAATATATATATATATATATATGTATATATATGTGTATACATATATGTGGTAAAGTCGCAATTGCGCAATCTACGATGTGCAATACATGTTGTGCAGAATATGTGGGGCGACGGCGTCGACAAGAGCGGCGATCGAGAGACAGGCCCAAACGACGGGAAGCGACGAGACGGCGAGGGGGCGGCGACGGCGGCGACAAATAGCCGCCAGACCGACAGACAAGCCCAGACGACGGGCGGCGACGAGGCGGCGACGGGGCGGCGACAACGAGTACATTGCCACCAGACCGACAAACAGGTCCAGCTGCCCAGAACACAAATAAAAACCCCCAATGCAGGCATCGCGGGAAGGAAGAATGGGAGCACGCCCAGCTTCGTTGCTCGGCGCAAGATCATGTGCGAGCATACTTGTCTTGCTCCCCCTCCTCATCCTCCTCCCTCCTGCCTCCTCCTCCTCGTCCTTCTGCCTTCTCCTACTCACTCGTCCACCACCCCTCCTCCTCCTCCCCCTCCTCCTCCTCCTCCTCTTCCTCCTCCTCCTCCTCCTCTTCCTCTTCCTCCTCCGCCTCCTCATCCTCCTGCTCCTCCTCCTCCTCCTCCTCCTCCTCTCCTCCCCCTCTTCCTCCTCGTCCTCGTCCTCCTCCTCCTCCGCCTCATCTCTCCTCCTCCTCCTCCTCTTCCTCCGCCTCCTCCCTCGGTCTGCTCCTCCTCTCCCTCCTCTTGCTACTCGTCCAGCACCCCCTCCTCTTCGACCAGAGCCCTTGGACCCCCCATAGAGGCCAGCCTCTGACCGCGGGTCGTCCTCTCATGGGCCTGGTACCTCACATGGGCCTCCCCCTCTCATCCTCCTCATCCTCCTCCTCCTCCTCACCCTCATCCTCCTCCTCTTCGCCTGCTTCTTCTTAGTATTGTTAGTATTGTTAGCGTTACTCCTGCGATTCGCACTATCATTCGTATACTCTATATATAACATGAGTAATCCTCCTCCTTCTCCTCCTCCGCCTGCTCTTGCTCATCCTCCTCCTCCTTCTCCTCCTCCTCCTCCTCCTCCTCCTACCCCTCCTCCTGCTCCTCCTCCTCCTCCTCTAATAGTATTACTATTGCTAGTCTGATGTCTGCTGGCGGCCGGTCCTCGAGCTTTTGTTTTCGGATTGGTCGGATACGTGGGGCCGGCACGAGCAAAATACGTTGCGCGGATTAGTCTCGGGATCCCATTGGACCCAAGCGCGGCTGCATGATTCGGAGCCCTCTTTGCCAGACGTTTGCCAGCTGTGCCAGGGGGCTCGGGGAACATTGTTCCACAGATGCTATCATTGCCCCGCCCACGATGCGATGCGCAGGGATTGTCTCCCACTTGAGCTCAAACGGGCAGCCGCTAGGATGACAGACAGTCAAGAAGGCTGGCAGGAGCGGTTTGCGCGCGGCGTATTTCCTGAGCCAGGGCAGTGCGTGGGGCGCCAGCCGTTCAACCCAGCTTGGCGGTTGTACACGACTGCCGAGGTGCAGCTGCCAATCCTCCTGGAGGGAGGTTTTGTTTTCACTGACGGCTCGGGGTTGGATCAGCTCCACCCGTCACTGCGGGTTCCGGGCTGGGCAGTGGTGCTTTACGATGCCGAGCGCAGATACGTCGGAGCATTGTTCGGGCGGGTTCCCCCTGAATTTGGAGTGTCGGGCACGGCCCGGGACGGGGAGGATTACGCTGTCTTGATGTGTTCCCAACACGTATTGGGTAGATATGCTTTGCGCGCCGACTGCAAGAGCACGCTCAGTTGTTGCCGTTCGGTGGAAACGTCCACCAGCCCGTGCAACCCACGCGCTCATTTGTGGCGCAGAGTTCATAGCAGGGAGGATTTCGTGAATCGCCCGTTTGACCACGTCAAAGCCCACGCTACCGCTTCAGAAGTGGAGCGCGATCGAATCTCGGAGTTCGACCGGGATGGCAACTCCGCGGCGGATCGATTTGCAAAGAAAGGAGCGGCTTTCGGCAGGTCTTCGCAAGCTGATGTGCACATGTTAGAAGGATGCCATTTTATAGCCCGATCGGCTTGCAAGTTTTCGGCTCGCCTCTCGGCCGCGATGGGAGCTTCGGAGACGCGAGATAATCTCGGTGTCGATTTTTTGAAGACGGTCGATGTGGGGACTTGCCCCCCCGGGCTTTTTGTGGAAGAGCTCCCTGAGGCGGACCCGATTCACGATCCTCTCGCCCCTCCTCCTGTTGAGCCTCCTGCTGCTGCTACTGCCATTGATCTCCCCTCGGGCGCAGCCTCAGGAGACCCAGAGTGGATTGTCAGCCGTGGCGTGCGCCCTTGGAGGGTTAACCAGCACTGTATAGTTCAGTGTGCTGTGCCTGGTGATGAGCCCATTATTTTTTGCCCTTCGTGTTGGCAGTATGCTACTACTCCGATGCAGCGGGGCCTCAAGGGCCAGTGCAAGGGCACAAGGCCGATCAAAGGTGGTTCGGCGTATACAGTGCGCAAGAGGCTGCAGGATGGACATCATCCGACTGAGTTCCCCCTCGTGCCGCTTGGCCCCTGTGAGGCTCCAGCGGAGGTCACTCGAGCGCGGTTCTCGAGGCACTTCGGACTGGACCACGGTGGAGACCAGATCATGCACGCAGCTCCGAGGGTGGTCCCTTTTTCGAAGCAGCCCGTGGCTCCCAGACTCGGGCTTGCTTCCGTGCTGCTCGCTTTCGGGTTTCACGACAGAGCTGAGGCCGAGGAGCTCGGTCAGAAGGTCCTTGCGGACAGGGCCGAGGCCCAGGCCAAAAGGGCGGCAGGAGCCGAGCCTGAGGCTGAAAGCTGAGACGGATGTTCACTTGTTCAGCCTCGCCCTCTGTTCCGGCCATCCTGGGTGGACGCTGGCGTGTCGCGCATCTGCTGGCAGACCCGCGGCGCCGCCCGCACTGAGGCTGAGCGCAGCGGGGGTTAGACAGATGTTGCTGTTTTTGGGGACGGGTGCCCTGTCGGTGGGCCCAGGCAGGGCTGGTCATCCCTTGCCTGGGAACAAAAAGTTCTCCGCTGATGGGCACCCGCCCCAGTCTTTCTTGTCCTCTCTCCCCTGGACTTTTCCCTTAATGGGCAGTGAACCCTCCTCCTCCTGCTCCTGCTCCTCCTAGTCCTCCTCCTCCTCCTCCTTCTCATCCTCCTCCTCCTCCTCCTCCTCATCCCCTCCCCCTCCCCCTCCTCCTCCTCCTCCTCCTCCTCCTCCTCCTCCTCCTTCTCCTCCTCCGCCGCCTGCTCGTCAACGTTTTGGCGCTGGGCGAACCCCTCGATACCGTCCAGGGGAACAATTCGTCATCCCGAGCCGCTTGCCGATTGCCCAAGGAGCCGACAGGGGCTTCCTGACGCTGATGCCCGCAAGGAAAGCCTGCGCCCTGGCGGTCTCAAGACGCTTGAAGCCTGGCCCCCCTCGCCTAGAGAATCGGGCGGTCGCTCACTGAGGGAGCAATACCCTCTAGATGGGGGGCATCTTCCCAAGATGACCCCCAAGAAGACCAACATGCCCCCAAGGGACCGCCAAGAAGCCCTCCGAGGGCCCCAAAAGGCACCAAGGAGCTCTGAAAAGGCCTCCCCAACCAAAAGGCCGCTCCCGAGGCCCCCAAGAGGCCCCCCAAGAAATCCGCCGACCCTGTCGGCGTGTGGAAGACACATCCCGGTGTCGTCGTCTTGCGTGGATCACCGTCGTCGTCGTCGTCGTCGTCGTCGTCGTCTCCGTCGTGTCCTCGTCGTCTCCGTCTCCGTTGTCCCTCGTCGTCTTCGTCGTTCCCCGTCTCCTTGAGCGCGCGAGCCAAAGCGACATTGAGCAACGTCGTAGTTGAGTCGTGGCGAAGCCCCTCCCTACCCTCCCCGCCGGGGGGGGGTCGCCGGGGGGGGTCGCCACCCAGATACGCATCCTCCCCGGGGGGTCCCGGAGCTCAGAAAAGCTTCAAGACGAGCCAAGAGCGACAGAAGACACCCCCAAAAGGGTACAAGAGGGCCTCGACTCGACGAACGATGGCCCCAAGACGCCCAAGACGGCCCGAAGACGGCCCAAGAGGCCCTCAAGACGCTCCAAGAGAGCCCCAAGAGCACACCCAAGAGGGCCCCAGGCGCCAAAATCGTCAATTTTACATCGGTTTTTGAATGATTTTGGCCTTCTCGCCTTTTCGGCTTTCCGACACTCCAAGACGGCCCAAGAGGCCCCCAAGAGGCCCCCAAGAGCGCCCCAAGAGGCCTACAAGAGGGCCCCAAGACGGCCCAAGAAGGCCCCAGGACAGCCTAAGAGGCGCCCAAGACGGCCCAATAGGGCCCCAAGACGGGCCCAAGAAACGGCCAAGAGGGGGACGAGGAACCGAGAATTCGAGACTTCCGCCCTAAGAGGCCCCCGGGAAGCCCCAAGAGGCCCCCAAAAGGCCCCAAGAAGGCCCCCGAGCGGCGCCAAGACGCCCCCAAGATGCGCCGAAGACGGCCTCCGGAAGCCCCAAGAGGCCCAAAAGAGGCCCCAAGAGGCCCCACAACGGCCCCCAAGAGGCTTCAAGTTGCCTTCCAGACGCCCCCGAGAGGTCAACCACGCCATCCCAACCAACATCCATAAGGCCTCCTCCTCCTCCCCCTTCACCCTTCCTCCTCCTACTCCCTTCCGCCTCCTCCTCCTCCTCCTCCTCCTCCTCCTCCTGCCCCCCCCCTCGTGTTGTCTTTCGTCATCTTCAGGGTCGGCGGCAACGGCCGTAAGGCCTTCGCAATCGGAAGCCGAGCATTTCCCCTTCTGGCCCCACAGCGGGTCGGCGGAATGGCGCGAGCCTCTTGAATACATCAGGGGGGGGAAAGGGACACGCGCAACTTTCCAGCACCTTTTCAGACAAACGCGGTCCACTACTCGCAAAGGAACTACACGAATATGGCCTGGATCCGCCGCGCGGGATCTGCGATCCACTACATCGGGGCAAACCTGTGTTGTTTTTTCGGACGTTTGTAAATAGGCACTTTGCGAGTATTGGAACGCGCTCGCTGACTTCTGGACCCGCGGTTGCAGCCGAAGCCCACTGTAGCCCCCCGCTGCCGGGTGCCCAAGCTCAACCCCCCCAGGCCGTTGCCTGCTCTGGCCAGAGCTTCCGAGGGACCCCGGCATGCACGATTACCCCTGGGGCCGTAGGCGACCCGAGGAGGAGGAGGAGGAGGAGGAGGAGGAGGAGGAGGGGGAGGGGGAGGGGGGAGGAGGAGGAGGAGGAGGAGGAGGAGGAGGAGGAGGAGGAGGAGGAGGAGGAGGAGGAGGAGGAGGAAGAGGGGGAGGAGCAGGAGGAGGAGGAGGAGGAGGAGGCGGAGGAGGGAGGAGGAGGAGGAGGGAGGAGGAGGAGGAGGAAGAGGAGGAGGAGGGAGGAGGAGGAGAAGGATGAGGAGGACGGGTCGCCTAAGCCCTTCGGAGAAACCCTCCACCGCGGCCGTGACCACGTGGACGCCCCCGAGAGGACCAGGAAGGGAGAGAAAAGTCCCCGACCCTCGGAGTCACGCGGCAGTGCGAGGCAGGGAATCATCCATGTCTCCCGCCTGGGAACCGACGTCCTGATGCACTAGCGGACAATGGACACGGTAGGCTCTCGCGGCGTCGGCGCGCGCGAAGGTATTTGACACCGCGTCGATCGTTGAACCTTCCTTCGATCGCAGCTCCGATCGCTCAAGGGTGAATTCCGTCGGGTCCAGTGGCGTCACCGTGTACCTCGGTGGTTCCGCGTCGCAGAATTCAACCTTGAACGCCTTCGCCAGCTTCCCCGGCGTGCCAACGCCGCCGGAACCTACCGTACGGAGATAGTTTGGGCCCCGGGGGCACGAACACATTCATGTCCACCGCCTGCGGAAGTCCAAGAAGACCGATCCCCCAGGCGGTGGTTATGGACAAATGCCCGCCTCGGAGGCAGCTCGCCCCTGGCCTCGGACGCCCGAAGTGGGTACGGAAAAAAAAACTGTCCATTGCCCAACAACAAATGCTGTCCAAAACCGACAGCGGCCGCTGTTTGACTACCTACCAGACCACCCCAACCGAACCCGAAGACCCGAATTTCGCCAGAATTTCGGGTTGGGGGGGGGTGCGAGCTTCATGTGTTTTTTCAATGTTCCCCGACCCCCCCCCAATGGAAATGGAGGGCAAATCGGGGCCTTCGGGTTGGGTTGGGGTGGTTTGGTAGGCGGTTGGGCAGGCGGCTTGATGTCTTCAAAGAACAGCGTCCGCGGCGGCGCAGACAGCGACAAGATGAGCAGTAACTGCTGTTGGGCATCGCACCCATTCTTTCCGTACCCGTTTCGATCGTCCCGATTTGCTTGAGCGTCGCCCCGCTGCTCCAGCGCACACGGCAGCGCTCGGCGGCATGGGTCCGAAAGCTGCACGCCGCCGAGGCATCTCCACCACCCTGGCTTGACACTGCCAGCTAACGACCCTCGCTGCGGGCAAGATCTTTATCCAGATACACTGCGTCTTGGAGTTTCGGGCTCCCTTCCTCCAATACCAGAGGCGCCGTGGATATGGACAAAACAAGTCCAGCCCTAGAGGTCAGATCTTTATCCATATCCACTGCGCCGCGGCCTGTTGGCGCCCCTTCCCAGAAAGTCCAAGACGCAGTGGATATGGATAAAAGTCGTGCCCACACTAGCCCCCTTCTGAGCCTGAACTGTCAGTGAGATATCCTCGCCTACTGGCACAACGATGTCCTCACAACCCTGGCTCAAGACTGTCGACGGGTCTGGTGGCCCAATTCTTGGGAAACTGAGAGGTACCGATCCCGCTACTCCCCAGACATCTTCCGGGGGTGCGTTCTGACCAGGATTTCGAGGCGAATCCAGCGGTGGCGACGAGGGCCGCCCAGGAGGCACGAAAAGATGGGAAACGGGGGAAGGGTAGCGGTATAGGTACTTTTCCTCATCCGAAAATCTGCAACCTCGTTACCATCCAGCTCAGTCCACCTCGCAAAGAGTAAAAAATTAGAGGCTGCGTCTGCAAGAGGGATTGGTGGTGCACCCCCCCCCTCCGACCGCGGCTGCGCCCACGCAGAAGAGAAAGCGTCGTGACTGCGGCGGGGGGGGGCAATCCGAGGTGTCAACACCGCGACTCCCCGGAACCCTCTCGGGGAGCGCTCTGACCAGAACTTCGAGGCCATGCGGACTCTCCACGACGAGCAGCGGCATCAGTGTATCGAGGAGAAGAAGGAAGACACATATAACAAGCATGAAGAAGAATAATAAACATCCGAACAAGCAGAAAGCACTACATGACCATGGACCCCAGGAGCATCGGAGCTGTCCCCGCCACTGAAGCTGGGCTGGGACAAGCAGAGGCTCGAATAAGAAAAACTGCATAAACATACGTTGTCGAAGGTTCGCGTGGATTCTGGGATCTGCTCTGGCATCCCCCTGGCAGCGCCTCTGGCGCCTGTCGGGAAGCCAGGAAGGGCGACCAAGCGCAGAACCAAACAATCCGCGCGGAGATCGCGTAACACAACAAATTCCAACGGTGAGAGATACTGGTACAAGAAAATCCAGGGCGCACCCTTCGCATGTGCTTAGCTTCCCCTATCTGCCAGAGCAAGCACTAAGAAACTTCCGGGGGGTACCTGCTGCCCGAAGGGGAACGTTTGGGGGGTCGGCTCAGGGGGGGCACAGTCGGGCCGAGGCCAGAAGAACGCCCCCCAAGAACATGAGACCCTCCGTCGGCCAAAACAAACATAATATCTAAGGGTACCTTCCCCAGGCTGCACAATAACATCCAACAGACATGAAGAATACGGGGGTAACCTCCCCGAACCGACCTCGATCTCTTTACCTCGGTCCGCCCGTAACACCGAGCTGGAACTGGCAATACATAGCCGACAGATCTGCGAAGCTACAGGCCCCAGACATCGAACCCGCTCGTCCATGGGCAGGGCGGGCTATCGGGCCCCTTATCGCCGACGAATGGGCAATCAAGGGTCGACGCATCCCCCCCTGAGCCCACGCCCCACTCCCATCCTCTGACGTTGCCCCTGACTGGCCGCTCCGCTCCAGCCCCCTGAATATGCTTCTCCTCCGAAGCCCAGTCCCCCGCGGCCTCGGGCCCCGCGTCCACGGTGAACTCGGAACACGCGTCGTCCCGCAGGATCGACCTCTCGCCAAAGTGGCTGCCGTGGTACAGCGTGCCGAGCTGCCGGGTCTCGCCAGAGGCGGCGTCCCTCCTCGAGACTTGGAGGGGGAGGAAAAGGATGGGGAGGAGGAGGAGGAGGGCGAGGAGGAGGAGGAGGAGAAGCAGCAGCAGCAGCAGCAGCAGCAGCAGGAGGAGGAGGAGGAGGGGGAGGGGGAGGAGGACAAGCTAGGTGCGCTCGCGTCATTTCTGACATCCTACCCCTTCCTCCCATCCCGTACCATGGCGTAGATCCCCTCTCTACGCGCACAGTCGGATGTCGAGCAGGGCAATGATCCCGAAAGGGTACGCGATGCATTGTAGAGCACGGCATGGCATGGCGCAGAAGAGCACCGCAAAGCGTAGCATCAACCTACCATTGCATTGTATGCCGTGGCATGGCACGGGAAATGACGCCAGCGCTGCAGCGGGAGCACGAGTCGGAACGGGCGGAAGCGCGGAAAAGATGCTAACGCTGCAGCGGGAGCACGATTCGGCACAAGCGGAAGCACGGAAATGAGGCCAGCGCTGCAGCGGGAGCACGATTCGGAACGAGCGGGCCCGAAAATGAGGCCGGCGCCTCAGAGAGAGCAGCACGTTGGAAAACAATGCAGGCGAAAACCCAATTCCGGGGAATCCTGTTAAAAAAACCGTACGCGGGGGGGGAATACTTTCAAACCGTCATCAGGGGAAGTGGGAAAGTAATATTCATATTGGATAATTGTGGAGGAGGAGGAGGAGGAAGAGGAGGAGGAGGGGAGGGGGAGGGGGAGGGGGGAGGAGGAGGAGGAGAGGAGGAGGAGGAGGAGGAGGAGGAGGAGGAGGAGGAGGAAGAGGTGTTTTTTTGCTGCTAGAACCAACCTGGCAAACCTTGCCTCAGTCAGCCTTCGGGGAAATTTAAATGGACGGGCGGGCTCACTGAGAAGGTGCCTCTACTCGCCCGTCCACTTTTCAGTCCAGAGCTCTCTCCCAGAAGGCGCCGCCCCGCTCACACTGTAAGAGTGAGCGGCGCGCCTCTCCTTGGGAGAACTTCACGTTATAAGGGTGTCTGCATCGGCGCAGGAGCGAGCGGCGATACTCGGCGGTCGTGTTGGCGGGCCGACCGACGCACACCTGCGCCAACTTACATCCCCGCTCGCTCGAAAAGACACCGCACCGATCGCAGAAAGTAAAGTGACCTGCGCGGTGCAAATCATGGCCCAGGGCCTCACCGCGCAGTGCTGGTGGGATAAGGTGCCCCCCCCCCGCTCCACGACGAAACGACGGCCCACCCGAACCTTCCCCATGCACGGCTTGCGCCACAGGGCCCCTCTTGGCCATGAGGGACAAGGCGTACCTACAGCAGACCGTGAACCTCCAGGACCTCCGAGTCCAGTCCAGGGCGCGGGCTTCCTCCCCCGCTGGCGGGCCTTGGCGGCGCCGACGGGGCCCGACGGAGCCTGCGTCGGGCCCCCCCGTGGAATCCTCGAAGCTCCCCGTCCGAACAGCACCCTCGCCACCAGACTGAGCAGCCCGTGGGCTTCGTCGGACCGCGAGGTCCAGGTGGCGCTCTTCCACTGGGGAATCGCCTGCAGATCGGCACCCCCCTTGGCCTCGGCGTCAGCTAACTGGTTCCTCTGGAAATCGAGCTCAGCCTCCCGGGAGTTGCCCCGGGGCCCATGGGTGTGGACACAAACTTTCACATAGGAAGAATCGTTGTCTCCTGGAAAACTCCCCTGGAACAAAAACCAAACACGGCCCCAGAGGTCGGCGCGAGGCCGCTCGGGAGAGCAACACCACTTGCGACCGCGCCTCAAACCTCGGATGACGGCGCCGTTGCCAATGCCAACTCGCAGGGTAGGGGCGGCGCATTCAAGGGTCTTCATCGGACCAAGAATCTCGGCACGGAGAACAGGCGCCTGGCATCGGAGCCCAGGGAGGGAGCCATGCATGGCCCTAGCCACAGCCCCCTCCTGGTCCAGAAACCAGAAAAACGCCACCCCAACCAGAAATCTCGAGCCCTGCCGGGCCTTTGCCCGAGCCGTCGGAGCAGGCCCAGCCGCTGACCAGGGGCGGGTTTTCAAAACTGGGGTTGAGCTCCTCCTGGGCAGGCGTGCAATCTAGGAAGGGATCATCCAAGGGGTGCTCGACAATGCCACGCGAGCAGAAAGGAGAGTCCGAGGGGGAGGTATCAGCTCGATGCGCGATCCCTTGGAGATGCTCCGCCTCGGCCGCTTCCGCTCGAGCGGCTTCCTGGCGAGGACAGCGGCGCGCGCGGCGGCGCTGACAGCCCACCTCGAGACTACGCGCCTGGCAAGACCTGTCGCCCCCAAAGCCCGCGCGCCAGACTTTATCTTGGGTCCCAAAACCGCTCCGAGGTTGGCGAGGATAGCCGATCGCCTCTGCGGCGATCGGTGAGCCCTTCGGCGGAGGAGAACCCTGACGGGCCCCAGAAAAGGCCGAGCCATCCCAATGCTTCTGGCGGCGGCCCAGGCCGAATGCTCAACGGACTCAAACCGGGCAACAATCCTCTTCTCGAGGCATGTGGGAGCGACGCGGCGAAGGCCCCACCCCCCCAGGTGGTGCTGCACAACCGAAAACGAGGGCCAACTCCAAGACATACGACGGAGAGTGGCAAGCACGGCAGAAGCAGGACCTTCTATACTTCTCCAGAGGCTGTGGCCAGGTTTCGCCTGCGCGGCCGCGACCGAGGCCCGCCTCCAGGCCTGCTGCATCAGCTCCTCTCGGCGGCCCCCCCGCACAGCCGACGCCCCCTTGACCATGCGCCGCGCGCAAGCATCCACCGGGGGATCGCATTGGAGGGTCCAAGGCCGAAGGGCCCGATCCTCACCGACCGAGTTCCCCCCAAGAGCGCTAGCCATCAGAATTCGGGCCTGGTCGGTTCGAGAGGGAAAACCTACGCCTGACGTGGATCGGGGCACCTCAAACCGAATCCACACCCAACTGCGGGCTGTGACCCAGGACGCTATGGCCGAGACTATGGGCCCACCCTCGAATTCGGACACTGAGAGATGCGCTGGCCGCCAGGAGGGCCACCTGGCCTGGTTCTGGAAACGGCGACGCCCCTGGCCTCCACGGCCTCGACATATTGGGCGATGCCATCACACAGCTGAGGCGAAACTGCTTCCTCCGAGCCTCTAGCCTGGAAGCTGATGTCGTCAACGTAAAGCATAAGAAAGAGGGTCGGACACATGCGAGACAGCGGGTCCGTGACAGTGAGGATGGCTAGCTTCAGGCAGCGAGCCCCCCCCCCCGTGCCCCCCGCCGCCACCGCCGAGAAGGTGACCACGGAGCGGGTAGAGACAACTCCCCGAAAAGCCACCAAACGCTCACTAGTGCAATTAGAGACCAGGAAATTTAAAAGCTGGGGCGGGAATCGGCGCTTGGGCCCCTCGACCCGCAGGAGGTACATGCTGCAATGTTCGAAAGCTGTGGAGAGATCCAAAACTACCGTGCCCGACGTCTCGCCAGGAGGGCCCCCCCCTCTTCAACTAACATTTGCTGCCGCGTCGCATCTTCGGAGCCACCCGCGTGGGGCGCGAAATCGCAACCACGAAGAATCGATCGCCCCCAATCGAAAGAAGCTCGCGTGGGCTCGCTCGACCAGCCTCGCGTTTGGGGTGAGCAGGCCGATGGGCCCCGTGCCCCCCGACGGTTTGGAAAGCAGGAAATATATCACACACCGCAGCTGGGGGGGGAACGCGCCGCGCGAGAGACGAAGGCCACAAAAGATGCGAAGAAATCGAGGCCCCCGTCACTCAGAAACCCCCACCCCAATTGTCCACCCCCACTCCCGCGTGCTCGGGGAAGGCTCGGCTACTATTTCTGATATTGCTGGGGGTGGGGCGGGCCAGGCAGCGGGGGAATCCCACCCGTTCCCATGGCCCGTCGAGGTCGATCCAGTCGATGGCCGCGGCGTCCACGGCGACCTGGGGGTCGGACATGTCCAGGTTGGCGCGGCCCCTGGCGCCGAGGGCGGGGGTGGCGCTGTGCTTCCACTTGGACACGTGGTGGATGAAGCCAGCGTCCCCCGCAGAGCCGTCGCGCAGCCTCTCGCGCCGCCGCGCCTTGGCCCGCTGGTTCTTCAGGCCCTGCTCGATCTCGAAGGCCCGAGCTGCGGCCCTGCGCTGCAAGGCCACGGCCCAAGGAGCGTCGTCGCGCAGGGCCTCCCCCGTCCACCGCAGGGCCGCGAGGGCCAGGAGCTCCTGGTGGACTGGGCCTGCCTCATACTGCCCAGGGCCGCGCACCAGCGAGCTGCGCCATGGGCGAGGCGCCGATGCAGCCTGCGCCAGCGGCTCGCCAAGGGCGCCCACGAGCCCTGCTGGCGCGCCGCGTCCGCGAGCAGGACCAGGTCCCCTGCTCTGGCCGCCGCCCAGCGCCGCGCCCTCGAGCGCGTCGCGCCTCGGGGTCGGGCGTGCGCCTCAGGGCCGGACAGGGGGGCGCGGGCCCACCTGGGGAAGTCGCCGCGGCCGACGAAGTCGTCCTCCCCGACCAGGTCGAATACGCCCTGCAAATCAGCCTCCGCCGCAGCCGAGAAGCCGCGCCAGAGGTCCTCCAGCTCGTCATCGCCGCGCGGCGCGTCGGGGTCGAACTGTGGCCAGTCGGGCGGCCCCCGACGGCAGCCCGCGGGCAGACACGCGTGGGGAAGGCCCTCGGCTTGACCAGCCGCCAGCCCGCCATGATGCGCAAGGGCTGACTGGTCACCAAGCTGACGGGGCTGCGGGGGTAGGTCGACGCATCCATCACCTGCGCGCAGCCGAAGGCGTGGGCGATGCGCGTGTCCACTACGAAGAAGTCGTTGATGCGGCCCCCGCCCCTGCCCCGGCAAGCGACCGCATCGGGCGCGAAGACGATGCCCCCGACGTCGCTGCACCAGTCGCCCGCCTGCAACGAGTCGGGCGAGTTGTTGAAGTCCGCCTGCAAGACCTGCGGAATGCCGCAGGCCCTAACCAGCTCCCCGATGGCCTCGAGGATGGAGAGGCCGCGGATGGCCCACCCCTCGTTGACCCAGAAGTAGGCGGTGACCTGCATGCGGCCGCCCTTCAGGAACCCTGT